GAAAGTGCAAAAAATATTAAAAAAGTGATGTTAGATGCGGTGGCATTTCCGTAATTAATCGGAACTTTTCTGCCATCGCAAAAAGTGCATTAGATTAGCAAAAAAGTGCATCAGAAATAGGTAAATGTGTAACTTCTCACTTCTCACGTTAAGATGTCTTCTCATTAGAACCCGACCCATATATACATACATATATATATATATGGGTCGGGTTCTAATGAGAAGACATCTTAACGTGAGAAGTGAGAAGTTACACATTTACCTATATACATACACACACATATATATATATATATATGTATGTATATATATGTATATATATATATATATGTATGTATATATATATAGATAAGAGATCAAATACAAACCATGCTTAAAGTACTAACCTACAAACTCCATAATATGCATCACTTTGAACTTCAATATGCAATAAAAATAATGTAAAGATGCAGGGGTGGGATCACATACAAACTAGTCGTCTCATTCAAATCGTCTTTGCATTATTTGTATTGCACATTGAAGTTCAAAGTGTTTCATATTATTCAAGCCATAAAATAGCAATTTCATGTTTACATTATTTGTATTGCATATTGAAATTCAAAGAGTGCATCTTTACATTATTTGTACTACATATTAAAGTTCAAAGTGCTGCATATTATTGAGTTTGTAGGTTAGTAAGTTAAGCATGGTTTGTATGTGATCTCACCCCTATACATATATATATGTATATATATATATATATATGTATATATATATATATATGTATATATATATATATATGTATATATATATGTATATATATATATATATGTATATATATATGTATATATATATATATATGTATATATATGTATGTATGTATATATATATATATATGTATGTATGTATGTATGTATGTATGTATGTATGTATGTATGTATGTATGTATGTATGTATTTATGTATGTATGTATGTATGTATGTATGTATGTATGTATGTATGTATGTATGTATGTATGTATGTATGTATGTATGTATGTATGTATGTATGTATGTATGTATGTATGTATGTATGTATGTATGTAGGGTCAGATTCTAATGAGAAGACATCTTAACGTGAGAAGTGAGAAGTTACACATTTACCTATTTCTGATGCACTTTTTTTGCTAATCTAATGCACTTTTTGCGATGACATCTTAACCAATATATATATATATATATATATATATATATATATTGGTTATATATATATATATATATATATATATATATATATATATATATATATAGGGAGTGGATCAGCTGAGAAGTGCCCTTAGGCTGAGAAGCTGCGAAGTCTAACTTATTAGCAAAAAACACGAACTTTTAACCAAAAAATCATAACTTATAGACATTCTCAAAAACACGAACTTTCTGCAAAAAAAAATTCCAGGTTTCTGGAGTTAGTTTGACGCGGTGGCATTGTCGTAATTTTTTTGGAGGGGGTCTATAAGTTATGATTTATTGGTTAAAAGTTCGTGTTTTGAGCTTATAAGTTAGACTTCACAGCTTCTCAGCCTAAGGGGGACTTCTCACATGATCTTTTCTCTCTATATAGGGAAGAGATCAAATAAAAAGAGGTTCTCCCATGCAAAGTGCGAACAGTTGCACTTTTTCATCACCGCGTTGCAATTTTGCGTATTTCTGTTGCACTTTTTCGCAGTGGCAAAAAAATTCGTTTTAATTACGAAATTTCCACCTCGTTTTTGATCAAATTTAGTTCACTTTTTGACTCATTTTGAGCCATTAGATCTGGAAATGAATGCACGAGATTAATTTTCACTTTGCATAGGAAGACTTCTTTGTATTTGAACCCTCCCCTATATATATATAAGGTTAAATATTTGTGACACTCATATCTTTCTATGTGTTCTTCCGTTTAGAGCGTATTATATCTCGTAGGAAAGATAAGTTGGACTTCTAAAGCTATTGTTCCAACTTCATTCTCAAAATTCAAAGTTTTCAGCATCTTCGCACTATTTTGACCATAACTTTTGACTCGGTGATCCGATTTTAAGCATGTAATACCTTGTTGGAAAGCTAACGAAAAGATCTACATCAATTCTCGGGGTTCACCCCAGAACCCCAACCACGCGCGCTCACTCTCCGTTCTTGAGGGACATATCGTTAGCTTTCCAAGGTACATTGTAAATCATAGAGATAAGGCTAAGTATTTGTGACACTCATATCTTGTTGTGTGTTCTTTTGTTTTGAGATTATTATATCTCGTTGGAAAGATAATTTGGATATCTAGAGATATTGTTCCAACTTCATTTACAATGCATTAATTAAAAGTTACAGATTAACCATAAATTCACAAATGTTTCTGATTTCACTCCGAACTCGTGTAGAATTTGACGCGTTCATATCTTGCTCTATTTTGTTCCGTTAAAAGCGTTTAATATCTCGTTGGAAAGATCATACCAAGTTCTAAAACTTGTCTTCAGGCGCTGGTTTCAAAATATCAAGGGATGATTGCCTAATTACTAAAATACACTGGATTTACGCTAAAAGTGCACTATTTACGCTCAAAACGCTAAATCGTAGAGATAAGGCTAAGTATTTGTGACACTCATATCTTGCTGTGTGTTCTTCCGTTTAGAGCGTATTATATCTCGTTGGAAAGATAATTTGGTGCTCTAAAGCTATTTATCCAACTTCATTTACAATGCATTAATTAAAAGTTACAGATTAACCATATATTCGCAAATGTTTCTGATTTCACTCCGAACTCGTGTAGAATTTGATGTGATCATATATTGCTCTATTTTGTTCCGTTGAAAGCGTTTAATATCTCGTTGGATTGATCTTACCGAATTCTAAAACTTGTCTTCAGGCGCTGGTTTCAAAATATCAAGGGATAATTGCCTAATTACTAAAATACACTTTCTTTCCCTTCCTTTATCATCGCTACACTTCCTAACACTTTCATGTTGAAATAAATCTGATAATACTTTAATCATCATATTGTAGTTATCTAGAGAAATAACTGAGCGGAAGCATACATGACTCCGTTGGAGATGATCTTTAGACTTTAGAGAACCGGGAGACTGAGGCTAGGGTTGCCTCTTCTAGTTAAGACACACCTTCGAGAATCATCTCTCTAGCGATGGGATACAGAAAGACGGAATGACGTGTTCAACTAGGGACAATAACCCCTCTATTTATAGAGAATGCTTAACCCTAATCAGTCCATCATTAATTAGTTAAGTTCATGGGGTCTCTACACATTTGGGCCCTATACCTTATAAGATGACAAACTAGCCCACTTAAATTAATATCCATAGGACCACTAATTTTTGGGTCTAAACATAAGATAGCATATAACATACATTTAACCCCAATAAACAATACTACGTATATTGTGAATATTACATGTAGTATGAGTCCATATATCTAACAATCTCTCACTTGGATGACATATACATGTACACACAATCTTTAGCATTGTATGTTTACTTTAAGAGCTCCAAAATTTTCCTATCAAACTGTAGTCATCTTTAATCAATCCGGTTCATTAATTACATCAACATAAGACCAATGAAGTATTTGCTATATTTGCATAATTAAATGCATCAATAGTCGCATACATTATAATATAATAAAAGGGAAAAGTATGGAAAAGGTACTTGTGGTCTAGACTGTTTTTAGATGGGGCACATGTTTCATTTTTTAACAAAGCGGGATAAGTGTTTCAATTCAGTTGTCATAGCTGGGGCATGACATCTAACGTCGTTAGAAATATTAACTCTGATTTTCAAAAGTTTCCAAAAAATAAAAGAAAAATACTAGAAGGTGTGCCTCATCAAGCAGAGCTCTAAAAGTCCACCCGAAAAGTGATATTCGCGGATTCATTTTGAAAACATAATCCGAATAGAGCCGAAAAATCCAAAGAGTACGATAGTTCGTTGGTCTCCTTGATGAGGTGCACCTCCCAATATTTTTCTTTTCATTTTTTTTGAAACTTTTGAAAATCGGAGTTAATTTTTCAAACGGTGTTAGATGTCATGCCCCAATTATGATAATGGAATTAAAACACATGTCCCACTTTTGTTCAAAATTGAAACATGTGCCTGTATCTGAAAATGGTTCAAACCACAAGTACATTTTCCGTATTTTTCCCATATGTGTGTGTGTGTGGAGTATAGCATATCGGTTCTACATGAATAAATGAAACATAAGAATCTAAATTTATTTTTATTAAAAAGAAAACTCAAAGTTTCTAGAATACTAAGCAATCTCGGTCAATTTATGATCAATTGTTATATTACACAACTCAATGAGTAAGAACATTAATCATTATACAAGTGTTACCCCCGTTGCTACATGTGGTACAAACATAGGTGCAATCAAATTTTTCTTCTTAATATAATGGTTTTCTTTTTATTTTTAGCTTGTTAAATTTTGTATACTTATTTACAGTTATATATTTATTAATTTTGAATTATATTTTTATGTGTTAGCGGTTTAATGCTGAAACACAGTTAATTACAATATATTTATTAATTTTGAATTATATTTTTATGTGTTACCGATCTCACTTCTACATTTTCTTCGTACGACGACATCTAAAATATCTCTTTTTATTTTTTTAAGTTTATCTTGTGTATCAATATTAATGTAGAATCTCCTTGTTCAAATTTATTTATCGTAAAATAATAAAAAAATAAAAATTTAATGTTCAAATCTATATATTGAGATTATCTTGGTGTTCACCTCCCGTCCTGATCGGTACTAGTCCATGACTTGTTGGCCGGTTTGTGATCCCGAATAAATAATTAGCCAAATTTGCAACCACATCTATGCATATTTGTAACAAGTAGAAGACAACGGAAAAGTCCACAGAAATCTTTGGTGAGGATAAGAAACAATTGCAAAGAATTAATGTACTAAGAGTGAGATAAAAATCCACGAGAATTCATGATTTTAGAAGTTAATCAAAATGAGTGGAGTGGGTAAATAGGGTGTCGGTGGAGTAGCATTGGCAAAGGTGGGTCAGCCTTCACCATCCTTCGCATCAATTGCGTCTTCCCAAATCCAGCCTGGTTCTTCCCTTCATCTCCCCCGTCCATTCTTTCTCTGATAGAGATTCTTCATCTCACACCCCGGAACCACCAAATACATACTGCAAAAAGAAGCAAATTTCCCTTGCATTTCTCATTCATGTTCCAGATCTCAACTCATCTGATCTGCCACTTTCATTTCGCTTCATAACATATTCACTGGGTAGGTCATCGTCTCGTTTTGAAGAGAAAATAAATGGGGCCTTCATTGAAACTGGTTGGCTTGGTGGTAATGCTTCTGGCAGCAGCGGCTGCGTCTGTGAGTGGTGAAACGGAGCAGCTTACAAAAACGCCTCCGAAGTTTGTTGAGGTGAAGCACGGAGTTAAGAGGTGCCGGAAAGATTGGGAGTGCCCTCAGACCTCCCAGTTCTGCTGTAATTTGACCATCACCGACTTCTTCGATGCCTACCAGTTTGAGAATCTCTTCTCCAAGAGAAACTCCCCCGTTGCTCACGCCTCCGGCTTCTATGATTACAAATCTTTTATCATTGCCTCCACGGACTACCAGCCAAAAGGATTCTGCACAACTGGCGGCAAGAAAATGCAGATGAAGGAACTCGCCGCTTTCCTTGGCCATATTGGTAGCAGATCTTCATGTCGGTGCATACTCTTCTCTTTCTTTTTACCCATTGTTATTTGATTGATTAAAATAAACAAGCAATATGATATCTCATTCCTAACCATTCAGCTTCAGTATCTTTCTGTTTCATTCTCTAATTAGAGAGAGAGAGATGCCAGATCTCGAGTTTTATTTGAGAATTGAAAAGCGATAACATAGTTAGTGTAAATTACGGATGTATTATGACAGGGTTGTAGGGTTAATATTAGGTTTCACGCCGTGCCTTGGTGTATATAGAAAACATATTCGATTCATGTTTTCACTGCTCCAGCAATCGGCGGATTTTACATGTATAGTTGGGGCCTTCACTAAGAAGTAAGAACAGATGTGAGGGGAAAGAAATAAACTGAAGACTTGGTAGTTTTTTATTCTTTATGAGGATCATTGAGTCTTGTGAGAAGTTGTATGTGAAAGTTCATGCAGCACCTTACTGTCTTTTTGAACCCTTTTTGTTCTCTTGCTGATTGAAGGTGGTTATAGTGTGGCTGCTGGAGGACCATTGGCTTGGGGCCTATGTTATAATAGGGAGATGAGTCCTATGCAAGACTACTGTGATGAAAGCTACAGTTTGACATACCCCTGTTCTCCTGGAGCTCAGTATCATGGCCGTGGTGCCATGCCTCTTTACTGGTAATCTTTCTCTGGTTATATGTCAACCATTTCTCTGTGTCCTACTGCTTATTACTATTAGTATTATTACCAATACAATTGAATAATGATCATTGATGGCTTTGGACTGACAACTTCAGACCCGGTAGGAATATGAAACCCAAACTTAATTAGTCTAATAGGAATGGAAAATTAGTACTCCGTAGAATAATACTACTAGTACTATAATAATGACTGCATTATAAAATTTACATGATGTCCATTACTTTTATTCTTTTATTTTTCATTATTTTGTATTTAGTTGTTGATATTATAAATATTATTATTGGATCAGGAACTTCAATTACGGACGCGTAGGTGAAGAACTAAACGTTGACCTCTTGAACCACCCTGAATACATTGAACAAAACGCCACCTTGGCTTTCCAGGCTGCGATGTTGATGTGGATGAAGCCACTTCGTAAGGGGAAGCCTTCAGCTCATACTATTCTTGTCAACAGTTGGAAGCCAACCAAGAACGACACTCTAGAAAAGAGAGTTCCTGGTTTTGGTTCTACCATGAACATACTCTATGGTGATGAAGTATGTGGAAAAGGTGAGGATAATGATGCCATGAACAACATCATCTCCCATTACCTGTATTACCTCGACTTGCTGGGTGTTGGTCGTGAAGAAGCAGGGCCCCATGAATTCCTGACCTGTGCTGAGCAGAAAGCATTTTATCCATCCTCCACAACCTCTTCTTCTTGAGGCATGCGTGTTCAGTGTAAAACAGCATAATTCAATAAGGGGAGCAGTTAAGGTTTCACCTTCTTACACCTTTCGTTTATGCTCCTGCTCTATACTCACTCATGAAGCACTCTCTATATGCATTACACCTGGGATCAAAGTATCATATGTATTGATGTTGCTGTTCTTGTGGGCTTGCAGTTGCCCTATTGTTTTTCTGGATTTGTGTGTGCTTTCATAGTTCGTGTATCTGTGTATGATTTAGTAGTGAGGGTTGGCGTATTTTATGTACTATAAAAAGAATACACATAAACCTATGACCTATCAATTGTGAAGACTTGAAGCTTGTGCGTTATTTTGGATATCATTTTTTTCTCTTAAAGCTGTGTGTCTTAACTATTTCGGCTATTAGCCTAGGTACGACTAAAAGTATTCTTAAATGCAATAGGATTACAATTTTTTTATTTCCAAGTAATGTATGTCCATTCTTCATATTCTATCATTCCTATAATTTCTAAAAGATTTATTTTATTAATAAAAAAATCATAGTTTTATTTATAATAAAAATATAAAAGAAATAAAAATTTATGAATAAATAATAAAAAAAGGAAAAATAAAATAAATTGAACTAAAAATAAAAAATACAAAAAAAATTATTTTCAAAACTTTAAAAAGTCTATAAAAATCCAAAAAAATTAAAATAAAATTCCTAAAAATCATTTAAAAATATGTAGGCCACTGAGACAACTCAGATCACTTGAAGAAAATGTAATTCTTGTTTGAAGAAATGCCACATTTCTCCAAATATGTCATTAAGATGAAATTTTTACTCTTTGAAAATATGTCACATACTTGGCATTCTTTTTCGGCAACTGGAGGTGGAGGTGGCGGTGGCAGAATGTGACTAAGGCTTGTATATTTTTTATTTATTTTTTACATATTTTTCAATAATTTATATTTGATTATTACTACTATTATTTAAAAATTTCTATCAAGAATGACAAGGGAAAGGATAGAATAGAAGAAGTTAGTCCTGTTTTGGGAATTTAAACTTTTAGGGTCTGGTTTACTAATAAAGATATTTTACAAGTTTTCTGAAAACTGCAAAAAGGAAAACAGAAAACGTGTTTACTGAATAATTTGCAAGAAAACTAAAGAAGGAAAAACAGAAAATGTGTTTACCAAATCATTTTCCAAAGCCAAAAAAAATGAGATGTCACTGTTTTCCTTAATGAGTTTGTGAAGTGAGTTTTACTAGTTTTCCAAACGTGTTTAATGAATTTGCATACTTACGCCTAGGGGTGAATCTGGTCCCGATCCCGCTCCGATGTTAGTTCCGTCTGGTCCGATCAACGACCCGGTGGTCTCTATTTGGTTTGATCAATAACTCGGGGATCTAGGTCGGTCAATGACCCGGTGGTTCCTCTCTGGTCTGATTAATGATCTGGCGGTACTTGTGTGGTCTGGTCGATGGTTGGATCAGCTTGGTCTGATCTGGTCAACGACCTGATGATCCTTGTCCGGTCAAGTCAATGACCCAGCGGTCCCTTTCTAGTATGGTCAATGACCATGTGTTACCTATTATGTCTGGTCGATCGATGGGTAGTCCCGGTTAGATTCAATTTGGTCAGTGGCTCGACGGTCCCTATTTGATCCGGTCAATGACCCTTCCCGTCTTGTCCGGTTAATAACCTAATGGTCTTTGTCCGGCCCGGTCGATGGCCTGACGGTTCGGTTCTCGTTTTTATATCATTTTTTAAAGTGAAGAGTTTCAAAAGAGTCGTTGAGTTGCGAGGCAATAGTGAAAAGGCAAAAGAATTAGTTAAACTAGCCATTGAGACCGATAGGGTCCTGACGGTTTTGGTCCCGATTTTTCTATACGCGGGACCAGATACGTACCTTACTTGGATTGTACTAGGTTCGGATTTGAAAGAGTGAAGATAATACTTCATATCATTTTTTCACTTTCAATTTTTCTTTCAAGAATAAACTAACTACAACTTTCTCTTCACAAATAAACCACGTATATTTTATTTCAATTATATACAACTCACATACCGCAATCTATACTCCGATTAGTCCAAAAAGATACGTGTACGGCTCCCTCTCTTCACCCTTAGGCATGGACTCGAGTTGGGTTGGGTCGGGCTCGGGCCAGGTCCCGGGCGGTCTTCGGGACATATGAATACAGGCCCGGTACCGGCCCGGTTTGTACTGGTTCCGGTTCGGACTACCCGACCGGGCCCGGTCTGGGCCAAGATCGGGTCAGGTCTGTTTTTTATTTTTGTTATTTTTTTTAAATTAATTCAAAAAGTGTGAAACAATAAAAATTAATTGTATATTTATTTGAAATATGAAGTACAATTGAGAATTGAGAATAATTTAAAACATTAAACACATTTGCTAAAAATCAGTTCGAAATTCCGCCAGTGTCGATTGTTGTTTCCTCCATGAAGTGATGGTTAGGGGCGATTAAACCAATCGTGGAAACAAATGAGGGTCTCAAGAAATTGTGCGCGTTCAATCTCGTTCTATAAATTGTTAATCATAAGACCACATTAATGACTATCTTCTATTACAACATTTAAAAAAAATATGTTAATACGCTTATAATGATTATATGTCTTTCACCACATGAGTCAGGTCAGACCTATTATTTTTTTAATTAGCAGCCAATCAAACTAATTTTTTTTTTGAATTAGTAGCCCTTAGGTCCAAACTGGTCCACCAAAATGCAAGCACGTGACCCGTCCCATAGGCCATAACTCTAACAATCTGGGTACCTGGTCGGTACCAATCCCGATCAACTGGGTTCGGGCCAATACCAACAGTACTGGGCCCAAGTTGCGTCCAGGTTGGGTTGACCCGTCCCAATCCATCCCTAATGAAGTGTAGTCTCATTTTTGTTCAAAACTTTTGTTTTAATAATATTGATGACAAACCCGTTGGATTACACTAAAAATTTGAACTAGAGATCTTGATTTGTAATTATGATCAACTTTAGAATTTGAGAAAAATAATTTAAGTTTTGCAGTTATCATCCCAAGTCGCAACAATATTCACATGCAACTTTTTTTCACGAAAATCGTTTAAGTTGAAAATTCTGTTTGTTATGATTTTATAGCATATTTGAGGGTGCCTATACCGTGCAACGGGTGTATGGTGAGCAACATGCACCCATTGGATATTATTTTCTCTTTTTTTTAAAATGGTAATAACTATTTTATTTTTAATCTGATTTTTATAAAATTTATATCAACATTTTTTATTTTTCATGATCTTTCAAATGAGACCGATATTGCCTATGTAATTTTAACATATTAACATTTGCGTGTAAAATATGTAACTTTACGTGTTAAAATATCAAATATGTAACTCACGTTCACTCAGGCCAAATGCAACTCGTGTATATAAATATGTATCTCTACGTGTAACAATATGTAACTTTACGTAAAAAAATATGTAACTCGCGTTCAGACAGGTCAAATGCAACTCGTGTGTATAAATATGTAACTCGCGTGTATAAATATGTAACTTTACGTGTAAAAATATGTAACTTTACGTGTAAATATATGTAAGTCGCGTTCAGGCATGTCAAATGCAACTCGTGTGTATATATATGTAACTCGTTTATAAAAAGATGTAACTTGCTTATAAAAAGAAGTAACTCGCTTATAAAAAGATGTAATTTGCTTATAAGAAGATGTAACTCGCTCATAATTCATAAAAAGATGTAACTCAATGTATTATCAAATGTAACTGAGGCCACTGATTCACTCCCAAACAGATTCGATCTTCTATTTCACAAACCTATCATCTCCCAAACAAATTCGATTTTCCTTATAATCCAATACTCATTAATATAATAGTTCTATAATTTCTTAAAATTACATAAGCAATATTGGTCTCATTTGAAAGATCATGAAAAATAAAAAATGTTGATATAAATTTTATAAAAATCGGATCAAAAATAAAAAAGTTATTATCATTTTTTAACAACAAAAGAAAAAAAAAATAGCAGCATGCTGCGTCGTTTTGAAACCGGTTGCACGGTATAATTTGCCCATATTTGCTGTTCTTTTTATATGAATAGCAGCGCCATTAAAAACATTAGACAAAATAAAAATATCAAAAGTATGAGTGAGTCAGATAATAATAACATGATAATATCAAACACTCACAGTATCATCATGTCAGGAAACACAAAGAAAAGGAAAAAGAATTCTTCTATGAACCATATACTCAACATATCATCTCTGAGCTCTTGCGTAAAAAAATCACCCAAAGAACTATAAAAAATATACATGTACTTGAGAATTGAGATAGTTTGCTAAACATATAAACGCTAAAAGCCTAAACAGCCTTTATGTATAAGTAAGCAGCTAAGCTCATTACGACAGAGAAGAAGTCGGGACATTTATATTTGTTTGCAATTTAAAAGAAAAAGGTCAGCCAAAAACACAAAAAACTTTATGTACTTGCGAGTTGCGAGAACAAGCAAGGATTATATTTTGTATCATTTATTTTCGCTACCACCAAATTGAGTAGAATTCCCGTTCCAAAATGCATTCCCATCTCCGAATGGACTGTCATCATCATCATGCTTCAATGTATGAATATTGCTTCCAAAGTGTGATGCAGACCGATTCCTGCTCCTCATACTGCCGCTGCTGGTACCCGGTGTAAGCTCATTTGATGGATTAACACCATATGGTCTATCATTTCCTGTAAAATCATATATTACAATGTGATTTGTAAGTGATTTAGACCAGACATTCAAAAGGATTTAAACCAAATATCCAAGACCGCTATCAAGATTGGAGTGATCTTTAACTCCTCATTTTGATTGATTTCAAACTCTGAGGAGTTATCTTATTCTTGGGAATGTTCTAAATTGGAGGATGCAGGTAATTCCCGAGTTTCATCATCAATTCTAAATTGGAGATGTCACACAAATTTTATATAATCATTATATACGTGATTTTATATAATCCCTAGTAATCCTATTACGGTTTTCCAAATCTATTTTAATTCAATTACGAATTTCCGACCATAAATTGCTTTTTTTAAAAAGTTTAAACACTAGCAGCACCATAGAGAGTGCATCTACCTAAATTGTATTTATACCTTAACTTGGAGAGTTGTTATCTCATCAAGCCACACTGTCATGAAAAACTAAACACTTTTCTTGGTAGTTGACTCATGCTTTTGTGTGTGTTTATATTTATTTATTTGTATGTTTGTTCATTTTTATGGGTTTGCAAAATGGACCAAGAATCGAGGTGCTTTCCTCCATTTTAAATAACGAAATGAATCAAATGAAGGTAATAAACGTGTTATGTTGTTTCTTATCCTTTTGCCTTTTTTTATTCTAATCAGACAAGAGATTAAATTAGATCAGATCATATGTTATATTCATATGAGGACATTAGACAAGATAAGTATTCAGATAAGACAGGCCACAACCCATTATAGAAAATCAGAGAAAAAATTCAGGCCAGATCAGATAATGGTATAGTACCACATCTAAACAAAATCATTAAGAGGCCGTTTGGCAACACTGTTTTTCGGCATATCAGGCTTACCAGCCAACTTTTTCACCAAACACGTAACTTTTGCTTTCGCACGCTGAATTGTGTAATAAGCAGAAAAAGTAAGGTTGGAGTTACTCTTCTGGCTGTATTGGCTGAAGTTACTGTAGATGACCATTTTAGCTATTTTTACATATAATTTTTTCTTTATTTTATTATTAAAATATATTTTAAAATTACTTTTTTCTTAAATCAGCAGAATAAGCCAATGCAGCCCCTCCAGTCGGAACTTCATAAATTTCAGCAGAATCAGCCAAAACAGCCGATTTTCATGCTACCAAACGGGCTCTAAATCATTCAGATAACATCTTTTCAGACGAAAAGAAGAGGTCCGAAGTGTGGCTCCTAGAATACTCAACCATGGGAATATCTAGAAAGCTCATCCACGTGTTGCTATTCTAAATTAAACTTTGAGTTGTAACAATATAAACAGATGCACCAATAGCTAAGCATGCAATACCACACCAGCTTGTCACAATAAAGAGAAAAATGAAATGAGTGAGAAGCATTAATGGAATTACTTCCCAAAGATTCAGCAGCAAATATCAAAACAATTTAAGAAAAATTACCATTTTGTGACATGCCACCTTGAGAAATGTGTGTGTCATCTGCTGAGCTAGCACCACCAAGAAAAGAGAAAGGATTCAGATAAGAGAAGAGTCGCCTAATAAAAGAAAAGTATCCTTCACTGTTTCCACTTGTGGCACCAGTCTTGTCGGGCAAAGCATTCTGGTCTTGTAATGGTGACTTTCCTTTGTGACGAAGGACCACTATCAGTGCCTGTCGATTGAGGAGACTCAGCTCTGATAATGTTTTATCTAGATCTACACAAAATAAAGACAGGATATACTCATATAAGTGCAGCATCGAAACACGGGAAATAACAATTTGGGCACCCTACTCCCTTTTTCCATGTGCAGGATTAGATATTTAAACAAATATCTGCAGGCCCCGGGAAAGGTTCAATCTGTTAAGGCCAGATGTAGTGTTGCCATATATACTATTAGAGGCTACCTCCCTGCTAGAAGATATGACCTTTAGGTCATAATATCTCATGGAAACAGCATTACCACTACATCATGGTCCCCCTTTCATACTAAAACACTAATAAACTCAATATTAGGGGAATTGGGGAATAACCCAGATAACGGAGCTGTATATAACATATATAGCATGAAGGTCGAGATGCTTAAGAATTATTTCAAAACTTGAAATGTGATTGCCATTTGGAAATCATAAAGATTGATGGCAAA